TAGGAGCACTATTTATCAATCTGTAATAGAAAACGTGAGGAAATTCTGTCTTTTTTAAAGACAAACATTTTTGAGGCAAAACACCCAGCAAGAAGTTTGTAAAAAAATGAATCCGCCTCAACAATATAGAACTTATCTACATCGTTTGGATTGCTTACAATCAGTATTGCTTGCGCCCCTTTTCTAGTCAGATTATTCATAACACGCCTTTATTTTCCTTCGGTTTTAGATAATGTTCATTACCGGCGTGGAAATTTGTCAATTTTCCGCTTTTTAAGAACTTCCACTTAAAACAACACTGTTCCGTGTTGCAAGGGACGTTGCTTTTAGCTCATTTTTTCCCTGATTTTTTCCCCCATAACAACCGAAGATTTGGAGTCGTTATCATCAGCAATTCCATGCCAAGTTGCACTGGACACTGAATTCGATGAAAATCGCGCTCAATTTGCCCGTTTTGGCCGCGTGATTCGCGAACGCAGCCAGAACTTCCGGATAGCATACGCGATTCGAAGAGTATTTCGACTTTGAAACTGGCTAAAATCAGCATTTCATCCTGCTGAATCAGTGCCGTCAAACTGCAGCGAGGCAAAGAGGTGAAAATGGGGAAAATCGTCGATAACAAACAACGCATTACCTTAAGGATCCGTAGCCGAAATTGTATTGTTTTGTGGAAAATTCGCTGCTTGAATAATCCCCAACCCAACTAGCATTGAACATTCGACTAATTCCCCAACAAATTGTTCGGCTCGGCTGTCAAAAACACCCAACAATTCCCAAGAAAATCCGTTTGTTTGGCTGCCGCCCTAAATGTGTTTGGAAACGAACACGAACTAGCATGTAGCAGTTTAGACAGGTAAAGGCGCAATTTGCATGATAACAACCGAAAAAGCCGAAAATACTCTACGTTCGAGCAGGAACTGCAGCTGGAAAGCACTCCAGAAATTAAACAGTTGGTCGTGGTGCGTCCCTCCTGCTTTTCTCGGGCGTCCCTTTGATCCAACAAAGAAAAGCCAGATTCAGGGCATTCCAGGAAATTATCATGATTTACTTTCAATGATTATTTCCCGCAGTGATCGATGAAAAAACCTGCAATTTTGAGGGTTTCAAACCCTTCAACTTTCAGCAGGGGAAAACGAAATGGATTATGTGGTACCGCCACTTGGCCAAGCCTGAAAAGTCCGTCTATTTGGACAACGTCCAGACTGATTGAAATCGACTCGGCCAGTGAAGAGAGATCGGGAAAAATTGCAACAACATTTCACAAATACGCGTCGATGCCGAAGCCGTAAAACAATATTTTCGTTTTTCGCCGCAAAGAAAACTGTAGCCGCTTCCATTCCCCCATGTATGTTCCACTTTCCACTTAGCACGTTCCCTTCGTCAAGACTGGAGGAATTCCTTTGCCCCCAAAATTTCCCGACCCTGATATTTATTAGATTTACTCTATCAACTCAATATTGGCTTGGGAAAATGAGTCGCGCTCGATCGGCTCTGCTCAGTGAAACCCTGGGAATTAAGTGAGGTTTTTTGAACAACATTTTCATCAAAAATCGATATTTTACCAACGTGTTTTTTGCGTTAATACGATTGATTGCGACCTCAGAAGCTTCCGAATATACACATTTAAAGTGTTTGGGTCAATAATGCGGAAGATTTCGTCGCTTAAAGATCGTAACCGTTGAAAAACGACCCAAAATGGGCAAAAATATCGATTATTTCTAAACCGAAGGTTCCAGCGTGTTTT